TTCCCTACTTAAAATGTCCTTATCTCAACCTGTGAGTTTTTCTAGCTTTTACCCTTCTGATTCTCTCCCCAATCCTGCTGGAGGGCAGTGAGGAAGCAGCTGCATGGGGCTTGGTTGCTGGCTGGGGTTAAACCACGACACCTTGTTCTACTGTTTGCCCCCTTAAGATCTCTTGCTTACGGCTTGCTTACGCAATGACTGCAAACACTGTTCTGCATTTGCATTGTTTTACACCCAAACAATTTATTAAAGGGAAGAGGAGAGTGAAGTTGGAATAATGAAAAAAGTTAATGCCTAAAGTCATTCAGCTGTTTGAGACAAATTGTGCCACAGAGAAGCTCATGGTGTTATACGTGGAGTGTTTTGTTGTGTGAATCTATCTCATTGGCTGTGAACATTGATATGGTCCACTGCAATCTGAAGCACAGATGTACCCTGAGGTTCTAACAGTCACTTGAACTTGATGCAAGTTTGTGCTGTTGCCCAAGGCAGAAATCTAGTAGTTGTTTTCTCCTCTGTTGCCTTTTGTACAAAGACAGTAACAGAAACATTAGGGGATTTGCAGCTGCAGGATGTGTCAGATCTGTGCAAGGACTGATTTGTCTGAAATCCAACCATTAGTTATTAGGGCACTGTGATAAGTTGACCCTAGGCAGCAGTGAAACCCCCAGCCAGCCACTCACTCACTTCCCCCCAGTGGGATGGTGGGAGAATAAAAAGGGTAAAAGGGGGAAAATCTTGTGGATCAAAATAAAGGCAGTTTAATAGATGAAGCAAAGCTATATGTGCAACCAAAGCAAAATAAGGAATTTGCTGGCTGCTTCTCATCAGCAGGCAGATGTTTAGCTGTTTCCAGCAAAGTGGGACTTCATCATGCTCAATGGTTACTTTGGAAGGCAAACATTACAACCCCAAATGTCCCCTCTTTCTCCTTTTCTCCCAGCTTTTATTGCTGAGTGTGATGCCATATGGCATGGATTATCCCTCAGGCCAGTTGCCTTGGTTGTGTCTCTTCCCAGCTTCTCACACATCCCGCCCTACTTGCTGGAAGGCCAGAGTGGGAAAAAGAAAAAGGTTCTGGTGCTGTGCAAACATTGCTCAGCAGTAGGTAAAACATCGTTATCATCTGGTTTAATCCCAAATCCACAACATAGCACCATTCCAGCTGCTCTGAAGAAAGTTAGCTCCATCCCAGACAGACCCAGTACAGTCAGTCCCGAGCTGCATCAGATCTCCATTCCGACTCCTGGAGTTACCATATGGGAAGCAGTGTGTGCACAGTTGTGTAGTGGAGGAACAGAGGAGAAAGGGATCAGCAGTTGAGTGTGGAAGGGCAGGACTGAGTTTTTTGGTTGTGGGTTTGTTGTGGGTATTTTTGATGTGGGTGGGGTGGAGAGTGACGCTGCCTTTAAATTTATGTCTCACAATGCACCGGATAGTTTTTACACTTCCTAAGTAGTATCAGGTACTTTAAATTTATGTCTCACAATGCACCAGATAGTTTTTACACTTCCTAAGTAGTGTACATTGCAGGTATCAAAGGTGAGCATAATTTCATGTCTGGTTCCATGAAATCAGAATTAGCTAATCTTTCCTCTCTGTATAGTTTTGCAGGGCTGAGCTGTGTCCTGGTGTTAGGGCTTCACAGGCTTGCTTGTAATTATGCTTACCTCATGCATTATTTTGCTTTTTAAAAAAATAAATAATTTTGCTTTAAAAGCAGTTAAGTAGTTAAAAATACCATTAAAACTAATAAAGTACATGTATTTGTGACCAGGAAAGAGACATTTAAGGATATTTACATTAAAGAATTGTGATAATCAGGAGTTGGATATAATAAAGACACATGAACATTCAATACCTCACAGTTACCCTAAAGTGCTTTGTAGATAATAAAACCAAAGTTTAATATTAGAAGGTTATTAAGTATAGGAAGAAAAATATAAGAGTGTTTTAGAAAAGTTTCCTTCATTGCAGGTTCACAGTTGTGGTCAAAATAAACGATGAAAAGTACGGTGAAGGTGTTGGTAAAAGTAAGAAAGAAGCAAAAGCAGTAGCAGCAAAAAACACATGGGAAATGATTAAGGCACAGGTGAGTAAATGGTAGGATGAAGGGTTTCTTTGGCTAGTAAAGGTTGAAGATGAATATCTAAAGGTAGATGAGAAAAACTCAGTGTTTTCTTTACTATGGAAGAGTTTCTAGTTATTTGTCTTTGTTCTGTCTTATTCAGTGCTTTTCTGCTTTTTACTACTGAAATATTTTCCTTATTGTTCTACTACAGATTTGATATGTAATATTCTGAGTGTTTCCTCCTCAAATGTGTTTGCCTTTGCTAAGCTGCCTTGGTATATCCAAAGTGGGCAGTGGACCTTTTTCATCGTGACTACTGTTCAGTAATTCAGTGTCTTCAAAACTCTTTGCAGGGCAGTGCTCAGTGTGTCTTATCACTCAGCTCATAAAATTGCTTATTTTCACTTGCTCTGATTCATCTCTATTTCCATGTCATTTTATTCTTTATGGTATAGCGGGTTATATACTCTATCCTTCCTTGATTATATATGAGTTTGAATTTTGCTGCTCAATTTTCTGCCAAGTGTTTTGTGATAGCCATTCTTCATTTTGCAAAATAAAGCCATGCTTTATTTTGAGTGAATTCTTTCCTTACCTGTTTCCATATGTTTCTTTTTTATTTTGTCACCATCATTACTTTAACACAATCGCTGAATGTTTGCTAATATATTATTAGTGCAGCCTAATCATGAGACAGCTGAAAAGTCTTGTTTTCCCCTCTTGTACATTCACAAGAGCATTTGCAGCCCTTACTAAATGGCAGCATCAGCAGCATCCTGCTGCCTTCCCTTCTTCACAGCTCCTTCCCTATCTTTTCCTAAAAGAGGTGGAAGAAGACATGGTGAGAGGTTGTTAAAGACATTGTTGTAATACTTGGAAAACTGGTTTTACATTTCCTTCAAATGTAATAATTTAGGGTTGGGATGTCTGTCCTTTGCCACGAGGAACTCTATTAATGCAAACTTGGGATTTCTTCAGAGTATTTTGAAATGCTGTCAAACCTTGCAGTTATATTAGTTCTTATGCACTGTTTATCTTCATGATTTATTAAGCTTAAGTTTTTAAGTTACCTATTTTGTTTGTTTTATAGTCAGAGAGTCCTTCAAATGCACAAGTTGCAGAATTAATGACAACTCAACCAACCGTATTACCTGAACCAGACGGAGACTATGTCAGCCTACTAAATATTTTCTCACAAAGGAAGTCAAAAATAGTTGATTATCCTAACAAAAGTACTGGAGAAGCCCATGCTCCCATGTAAGATGTACCTTTTCTTCCTACTTCCTTCTAATACTTCGTTGCATTTACTAATGCTACCATTAGTCACCCTCAGTTGTGTTAGAAGAATCTATAGAAATACAATAAAAATTCAGAGGTTATCTGGAGAATATCCAGTGGAGAGATATTAAGGTGGTTAAGGAGCTGGAGGATACAGAGAGTTCTGAGTTTGCTCAGCTAGGAGAAAAGATGGCATGGTGATAAAATGGTAGCCAGAGCTAAAAATTGTCAGCTGTCTTGGTTGTAGCTCTGGCAACTTTGTGGACCTCTGGGGGTGTGTTTTGGAGACCCCTAGAAGCCTAGTGTCAAGGAGAGCCTGTTTGCATCTCTTCTTGTATGTACTGCAGTCTGTCAGTTGTAGAAATGTTCCAGTTAATGACAAGTGTGGCATGATGAAGGATAGCTACATATTTTAACTCTCTTAACAATATGTGCTGTCAAACTCCTCTCTTACCCTGCAAAATCAGCCATTTTAAAACCCAAACTGCAGATAATTTGTGACTGTGGGTGGGTATGTATATGATGCTGTAAGGATTTCAGCCTTAAAAGGTGCTAAATATTCACTCTCTGAAAGTGGGTTATCTTGAAGACACGTCAAGTTATAATTAACTACCATTATAAACTGGATTCAAGATACACATCTTGAAAATATTCTATATGTTTCTGTTCTATAATGTCAAAGTGTTTAAAATAATTAAACTAACACGTCATATGGAATGTAAGACTTTATTTCCTGTTGTATTTTACAGTTTTTTTTGTAACTGTACAATTAATGGTCATCTGTATGGAAGTGGTACTGGACCTACTCTAGCTGTTGCAAAACAAGCTGCTGCAAAAGAAGCGTACGAGAAGGTAAATAAGGAATGTTCTCTAACAGTGTGTGCTATATTTAGCCTCAAGACAGAAGTTTAGTACTTGTATTTTTTATCTTTGAACAGATTTCCTCATTGTATTTAAAAACATGTTCCATGGATTCCACTAAAGAGGGAAACAGTCTCTATTTTGGTGGGTTGATTGGGCTGCAGGATTCTGTTGGTAAAATTGATGTTGTGTTTCTATATTCAATGGCTGGATTAAAGAAAACTAACAGTTGATACCTCTGTGGTTTTCAGAATATGGTCTGATATGTTGTCATTCAAGGATGCATATATATTAGAATTTCTAAATCTTGACTACTTAGTATGACAATTGTCTTCTGTGTGAAGTGTTTTTGAGCTGGCTGGCTATGAACATAAGTCTATTACTGCCTTCTGTTGGATCAAAAATCTATTGTGAAACGTGAGGAAGGCAAAAGCAGGAGTCAGAATCAGCAGGACTTGCCTTCTGTAGTGTTGTAAGGCAGAGTCTAGTGAAGAAATTGCTGACACCATCCTCCAGAGAGCAGAACTTTTGTCTTCATGTTGGCAATTGTTATTTCCACATGTGCAAAAAATTATCAGAATTATTACAGTGATCCAAACCCACTTCTGAAATGTGCAGAACATATGAACTAACTTAAATGAAGTGTAGCTTAAAGTGAAAGATGGCAGTATGGGCGAGGGGAAAAATCTTTTTTACTTTAACTACTTTTAAAATTATTTGGCTCTTACTGTGAATTTTCAGTACTTCTTTTATTGTTGTTTTTAAGTTAACCATGTAATTAATGGCCTATTATAGCTCTAGGATCCTTCCTTAATACCTTCCTGTGTTGCAAGATCATGGATTTTTGCATTTTCATCAAAGTCTGAAATTTACTACCTCAAGCAGAACTCTGTACCAATTAGTCTAAATTTGGGGTGGGTTGGTTTGGTTTTAATTTTTATTAATTCTCAGCAATGTCTGTGTAACAAACAAAATGTGCCTGACAAAAAGTAGCAAAGCTCCAGTACTCCCAAATTTAAAAAAAATGGGGTTGGTTTGTTGCTGTTGTTCAAACATAAACCCTTAAGTTTTTCTACTTCTTCTCAGTAACAACGTAACAATCGTAGTTGTTGCCTTTAATGTTACATTTATGCCCTTATGACGTACAGGGAGACGTCTAGGAGGAAAGAAGGGCAAGAATCTCTACTAAATATTTAGGATTAATGGTTTTCATCAACCCCAATTCAGTTATACAGTAATTTTGCAGAGTTTTCATGCTGAAGACATTGAATGGTAATTTGCGCTGACTCAGATTTTCAGTTCTGCTGATTACATATGCCAAAGTCTACATATATCTCATTACAGGCAATTGCATATGCAGCAAATAATGAAAACATCTGCTTTTTGTAACTGCTCCTCTTATCCTGGTTTTAAACAGGATCCAGACTCTACTTTTCTAGTGTGTTTGTATGGTATGCTCACTGCAACAGGGCCCTGTGTTTCCCTCCTCTGTGAGAAACAATCCATATTTTGGTGGGTTTGTTGGGCTGCAGGATTCTGTTGGTAAAATTGATGTTGTGTTTCTGTCATTGGGCAGATGCCTTTCTTCTGCAGGGCTTTGAATGTGGAGTGCAATTAACAACTTCCACTTAGGACTTTGTAACCTTCCCTCTCCCCTCTTTGAGTGGTATCTTTTGCACTTCAGATTTTTGACATGATTTTGTTAAACATTCTTGATTTTTCTATTTTTTTTCAGGTGAAAAGTGAAGAATCTAATGGCAATTCTACATTTAGTAAAGATATCAATTCCTCTCAAGTGCCAACTCAGTCTGACAGGAAGTAAGTTGGGTTTGCTGCTAATGTGAGAACAAAATTTATTTACTAATCTTAGAGGGTCCTGTGATCTAATGCTAAATAAAATATGTCATGGTTTGTTTTATTGTAATATAAAGCCATTTAGTTTGAAGTTATATTCCTTAAACTTCAGCACAAAATTTGTTGTACTTGTAGAATTTTATTTGAGTCCATATGGGATAACATAAATTTTAGAGTTTTCTGATATCATATAAAATTAGAAATGAAGGAGTATATTACAAAATGTTGTTATTTTAGTAGCTTTCAAGCAGGAAGTTTTGTAGTTTAAATCAGTCATGACTGGTAAGGCTTTTTGGGGTTTTGCTTTTAGAAACTATGTATTTTATTTGTAATACTCCTTTTCTTGTGGCAATCGTTTTATTTATGATTGTGTTAATTTCACCTAATAATAGTGCATTATTTTTCACTAAAAGCAGCACTTTGTCTGACAACCCAGCTGCAAAGTTGGTAGAAAAAATGAAACACATGGCAGTATGTGAAACACCTTCACCTTCTAAGGTACAGTATGAAAATAATCTTCCTCATAATTACATTTTAGACCCAATAGGACAAGTTTCTTGTCAGAGTGTGACTTTGGTTTGCTCTTTTAACCGCTAAGCACTAGAAAACACATGTGCATTTTTCCTAAGAATATTCAGTACTTTCTTACTGTTAACCTTTAGTCATTTACTTCTGTACTGTGGACCCAGTTTATGGACTGCTGAACAAATGGGCAGTACTCTCAAGCAAGGGGATCAAGCTAAGCTCAATTTTTTCAGTGGGAAGAATGATAATGTTATATATACATAGCATACACAAAAAACTGTAAGCTAAGATATGGCTTCAGTCTTATTACACTGTTTATAAAAGGCATGAACATATTTATAGGCAAGTCCTAGATACATTCTCAGGCAGATTTTAAAACAACTATAATGAAAACATTCAGTTAGGCCTTTTTTTTTCTTTTTTCCATGTAGAGAAATGCACCGAGTTCTGCTGTGAAACCTGGAAGGTATGTGTTTATTTCTAGGTTGTTATCTCCTGTAAACTATATTGCAAATCACTTTCATGTTTCTATAGCTCCTAAAGAAATGCCAATATTGGGAGGTACATGGATTTTCTTGTCACATATTAGAAAAAACGCTCATTATAAATTTTTCTTTTGTACTTGCTCAAGAAAATTGGCAATTAATTTTGCTAGCAAGGAAGAGAAAAGAAAGATGTTGGATTCAGATGAAAGTTTGCCACATGTGGACACAGATACCAGAGAAGATAATGGAAGTCCGTACACTGTCGAAAAAACGTAAGAAGGATTTCTTTTTTCTACAATATTATTTGTATGCCAATTCGAGTTTGTAGATTTGTAGTCTCGATTTGCTTGTTTATTTATGATAGAATGAGGAAAAATACTGTTGTAAAAAGAACTTTCAAAGAAAATTGGTACTTGATTTTTTTTTTCCTGGAAATTTCAAATATAGTATAGAAACTGGCATGCAGTGGTATTTAATACTCACAACCAAGTGTCATTTCTGTGAAGATGTGAGGGTAATTACCCAACATGCTTGCAAGGGTCAATTTCAATTTCCCTTATTTTTTTAATCTTCAAGACTATGTAGACCTGTAGATTTGTCAGGTGATCCCTGTAGAGTGATATTTCAGCAGATGTGTTGTATCTGGCAGGATTATTTTTATATCCTGTAAATTTAATGTTAGGTATCATTAACTCTGCTTTTTTTTTTTTTTTTTAAGATTTCTTGTTAATTTCAAAAATATAGAACCTATTGGTGAAGGTGGTTTTGGGAATGTTTTCAAGGCAACGTCAAAGTGCGATGAGACAACCTATGCAATCAAACGAGTTGAATTCACGAAGTATGTATTGTATATTTACTTCTGGTTTTTGTTTTAGTACAACCTTAATCAATATTTTAGTGCTTTGTTTCATCTCTTTAACAATCCTAGGAATTTTTAAGCCATTTTCATTATTAATTGTGTGTTTTTCCTGGGAAACTGTTTTCTTTATTTCGAAGTGAAGCTGGAAATGGCATGCAGCTCTGTTACTTTTGGCATGTACTGGGATAATTTCAGCTGGAGCTCTAAAAATGTAGATTTGTTAAGTTCTGCTTTCCCTGAACACACTAGTGCTCTTGTTGATACTGCAAAATGTGTTTGAAGAAAACTTGCTGATCAATAAAACATGGAAAGCAACACTGTTACTTTTGACAGGTTACATGGAAAAATTACATATCAGCAATGTATAACAACTATAATTAGGGATCAGAGAAAAATCTAAATAATACATTTTGTGGTTTGTAATTGGAAAATGCTTTATATCTGACTCATGTAGTCATTATTCTCACACTGTGTTACTTGTCCTTCATAAATCTCAACAGAGAATTATGATCTTAACTTTTTCTAAAAGTAATTTTCTGTAACCAGAACCTAGTGGAGTATTTTATCAGCAGCTGAAAAAATTTCATTTAAGTAATTTATTCAACAAGTTGCAAGTTTTTGGAGATATGTATCCCTTAAATTGTGCAATGTGTACATTTCCCTTCAGCTTCTTGTGTTCTTTGCAAATATGTTATTTTCATTGGTGTTGCAATCCTGAGAACTGTACTATAAACATTCTAGCTGGTCTGCTGATGGGTTTGAACATACTTCCCCAGGCAATGTTACAACAACAAGTGCAGCCAAGTCTATTAATAGTTCTTTGTGAGTGTTTATGCTGACTTCTCCCTAACAAACTTCCTGGAAGTGAAAAGAAAACATGGGTGTTTGCTACATTGTGTTTGGCCACCTAATGTTGTTATGCATTGCAACTATCTACTCTTTGCAGCTTTTTTTTTTTTTTTGTGAGTGGGGATTTAATTTCTAATATGGTTAAATCATTTTTGCACTTTGAATAACTGAGAAACCTACTGGATGTCTAACTACAATTTTGAGCTTTGAACTTTTGTGAGGGAGAATAGTGTGTTCTGTTTCTAAATCAGTGTAAAACTGTCTGTACACTACTCCCTGCTATCATGTCTTTTATTTAACTTAGTATTTACACTGTAATAGGGAAAAGCCTTTTTTGTTTTTCTCCCTCCCCACCCCTCAATAGGAATGTAAAGCGTGAAGCAGAAGGACTTGCAAGACTCACACATGAAAACATAGTGCGGTATCACTGCAGTTGGAAAGGGTATGACCATATGACTTCTCCAGACTTGAGGTAACTATGAAATAGTAGTTTGCATCCACACACTTTTTTTGCCGTAGTGAATTCTGTGTTGTAAAATGAAAGGCTGATGATTGCTTATAAATTATTGCACAAATATAAATGGATACATGTGCTTACATACTGCTAGAAAAAAATTAGGCACTTTCCAGCATCAGGTTGTATGTAATTAAGTACAGTTATGTCTTGTTTTCCTTCATCGATAGAATACATTTTGCAATTTTCTGTTTCTCCTCTCTCATAGTATATGGAGCTTAGTGAATGCATAGAGGAGAGTAAGATTGCAGAACTCGTAATTTGAGGCTAGAATTAACAACAGAAATAAAAAAAATGTGTGAGAGCTGGCTGCCAAATTCCTCATCAGAAGCTTCTTATTGGTAGTGGGTACTGATCAGCTAGTAGCTCTCATAGATTTAAATATTTCTCTTAAGTTAGCTTTTTAATCATGATGCTTGAAACAGTTTTGGTTATTGACAACAGAAATAAAAAATTAAATACTCTTTCATTCAGAGGTTGCCTTTCAACACTAAGGCTTCGGGGAAGACAGTGGTGAGAGTTTTACTTGTAAATTAGACTTAACTTTTCAAAGCTCCTGTGGTAAGCTTTTTTCACTAGCTGTAAATTCATGCCATTTGAATAGGTTGCCACACTTACCTAGACCCATAAAATACTAATGGATTCAAAACTATGGTTGGCATGATATCTGTCCAGTGTGCTCAGTAAATGAGGAATAAAATGGGGAAAAAGAAATCTCATGTCAAAACCCAACCATTAAGATGTTGGAGTCTCAAAATGATGTATGTATTTTATGTTGAGCAATTATTGGGTGAAAGACAGAAAAAAAAAGTCCTTAAAGCTGAGGTCCCAGCCTGGAATTAGTGCCCTGAGACACTTAATGCTTGTTCTTTCAGTGCCTCAGTTAGTTTTATTCCCGGGCACTCAGATTACACTGTATACATAAGAAGTGGTGCCTGCTCCTCTTCATATTGTCCTTTCCCTCACCACCTCCAGCCTCAGCCTATCCTATGGGCTGTGGAGGTGGTTGAATATATTTAATCTAGATTTCCAGCTCTCAGAGGAGTTTTTCTAACTAGCAGACTGATATCAAAGATGGTCACTGCATTACCTTCTTAACAGGACAGAGTTGGAAAAGAATGTGATGATTTTGGTTAGGGGAGGAAGGCTGATGCTGTGTTTGTTGAACAGAATAGAGAATACCTGCCAGGGACTTGGAGCAGTTCCTAGAAGGCAAGATGAGAGCGAAGGACAGTGTTTTTCTTTCCTGTATAGGATGTGTCTCTGGGTGTGAGGGAAACAGAACTTGAGCACTCAGAAAACTTTCTGTGTAAACTAGGAAGTAAACAAAACATGAGGAATATTTCAGGGGTGTGTAGCAACTGAGCAGGGATTCTTTGGTTCGCAGTCCTATTTATTTTCATGTAATACAAATTGGTCTAGAATATTTTTTAAAATCAAGGGACTTGATGACTTTGTTTTGGGGAACTCCAAAAAAATTATTTGCAAAAAGTTTTTCTAAAGAAGAGGAACCTGAGGATCACCTGATGACTTGGGAGGAATTGTACCCTGCCAATTTTAATATGGTGTATAATTTTCTTTTGAAGCCAGAATTCAGACGAACTAGTTCATTGTCTTTTCATCCAAATGGAATTATGTGAACAAGGAACATTGGACGACTGGATTGCAGAGAATGGAAAAGACCGAAAGTATCATGAAATGGCACAAACCAAATTTTTACAAATACTGAAAGGAGTGGAATATATTCATTCTAAAGGGTTAATTCATCGAGACCTCAAGGTTAGTAGCATAGATATTTAAGAAAAAGAGAAAAATATAAAGATAGTACTTACTGGAATTTCAGAAAATGTTAAATTGTTGCAATCTTGGTTTAGTCTGTTATGTACCCTAGCAGTGTGTCTCTTTGGATATTGCTAGGGATTAATTTTTTTTCAGCAACTGGCTGGACCTCATCCTAAAATCAGAAGGTAAACAGGAGGATCTCAGAATGCAATAGTTCAAAAAATCAATACTCATCAGTTAACAGGTATTTTCAGTGTGCTACTGGGTGACATGACTACCTATTGGAAAAAGAAAAGTTGAGTCTAGAAGTTTGCTTTTGCCATATTGTAATGGAATAATTTATCTATCCTAATACATTCTGTGTTTGATAACAACATACTCTAGTTTTGTATCATGTATGCATAAAAATATTTGAATGCTACAGTTTTGGATAGAATTTCAGTCTCTACATGTGCACAATCTTAAGAAGATTTTATTTCAGTACAAGGATGACAAAGCCTTCAGGGCTTTAGTGTGGCAGCTACAGTGTTGCTTAGAGTTTTAAATCACTCACTTTGGGGAAAAGTCATTAGTGTGGTAGCATTCATAAAATCATAGGGTTAAGGAAACTTCCCTCTGGCCATTCAAGGAGGCACTCTGGCAGTCACACTCCCAACAGACTCTGACTGCCAGGATTGAAGTCCCTTCACAGCAGGTGTCTCCAGTGAGCTGACCGGGAGCTCTGCTTGACTCCCTACACATACCACTCACGGGCAGCCAGACCAGGTTTCCTTACCAGTTCGACCCCAGGTTTCCCATAGCAGAGTCTCAGATTCTAGTTCCATAAAGCCATTTAGTCATGGCACAGTTAGAGAGAAACAGCTCGAGCTGATACTTCCAAAGAGGGACACCTCCTCTCCCCCTGCCCCTGAGCAAAGGTCCTCTGGGCTTTTATACCCTCATAGTCTATACTTGTGATAGTCTGGGCTCTTCCTCCTCAGTTCTTGGCTCCTGCAGTGGCTCTTGAGTGTTCAGGCCTGGTGCCACAGGTCCCTGTGCCCTTTGTTATGCAAAGGGACAGTGCCAGTTCACAGCCTCTTGCCTGGGGCTCCCATCACCATGCACCTGCACTGAGTGTTTTCCTCAACAACAGAATCATTTAGGTTGGAAAAGAAATCCAAGACTGAGTCCAACTTTTGAGCGATCACCATGCTGTCAATTAAACCATAGCACTAAGTGCCACATCCAGTTGTTTCTTGAGTGCCTGCAGGGATGGTGACTCCATCACCTACCTGGGAAGTCCATTCCAATGCTTAACAACCCTTTTTGTGACGAAATTCATCCTGATGTCCATCCTGAACCTCATATGGTGCAGTTTGAAGCTATGTCCTCTTGTCCTGTTGCTAGCTGCCTGGGAGAAGAGGCTGACCAACACCTTACAACAACCTCCTGTCAAGTGTTGTAGAGAGTGACAAGGTCTTCCCTGAGCCTCCTCTTCTCCAGGCTGAACCACCCCAGCTCCCTCATCTGCTCTTCATGATACTCGTGCTCCAGACCCTTCACCAGCTCCACTGTCCTCTGGACTCTCTCCAGCACTTCAATGTCTTTCTTGAAGTGAGGGACTCAGAACTGGACACAGTACTTGAGCTGTGGCCTCACCAGTGCCAAGTACAGAGGAACAATCACTGCCCTAGTCCTTCTGAACACAATACTGCTGATACAGGCCAAGATGCTTGGCCACCTGGGCACACTGCTGGCTCATGTTCTGTTGGATGTTGATCAGCATTCCCAGGTACTTTTCCCCTGGGCCACTTTCCAGACACTCTTCCCCCAATGTTATACCACACAGATTCAGAATAATCTGCACTGGAGGAAAATTACACATACACACACCTCCCTTGCAATTTCATTTCCTAAAGAAATTTTATAATTTTTCTATATTCCACCTAATGTAGGTGAGGAAGATCTCATTATTAATATTACTCTTTTACTGAAAAGAAGGAATGTTTATCTTTGAGCAGCTATAATTTTCTGAGATACCCAGGTCAGCAGGATGTTACTGCAGATTCATCGATCTCCCACTAGTGGAACTTTTAAGAAATCAGTGGTGACTATCATGTGCAAGAGCATAGGGGCATAAGCAACACAACTCAGTTCCTGTAACACAACTAGGCCATCAAAGAAGACAATCTCAAAGAATATAAAATTTCTGTAAAATACAGCATTTCCTAAAACTGT